CGCATCCCACGGAATCCCATCCCACAGAATCCCCTCCCACCCCACGGAATCCCATCCCACAGAATCCCACCCCACAGAATCCCATCCCACAGAATCCCATCCCACAGAATCCCATCCCACAGAATCCCATCCCATCCTGCTGCATCCCATCTCCATCCCCAGGGCCAGCCCGTGCCCTTGACCCTCTCCGGAGGCACGAGCGTGTCCCGGTGCCGGCGGGTTAATGGATTCCAATCCGTGGGCTCGAGGAGGAGGTAATTTCTTTTCTTTCATGTCTGCTAAATACGGTTCCTCAAAGAGGCATAATTTCTAATGTTCCGCATGACGGGAATTCTAACCGGGTTAGCAATGATCAGCTTCCCATTTACTCCTGTGTAATCTCTCCCTAACGACATTAAAAAATAAAAAAAATAAAATAAAATAAAATAAAATACAAGAGGGGAGGGCCGGTGGGGGGAAAGAGAGAGTTGTGGCCGCAGTTATTGCGCCGGTGACATTTTACGGGGGGGGAAGAGAGAGGAGGGGAAATGGTAATTTAATATAGATAAAAGGAACAAATTAAGTGGGCTGAAAACAGCTGCTTTAGGAAAAAGAGGAGGAATGATAAGGTGGAGGAGCGTGGCCCTGGCTCCGGGGTCGGGGTCGCGCTGCCTGGTTTGGGTTTGGGTTTTACCCCAGCACCTGCTCCCAGCACTGCTGGATTATTTTTCCATTGGGTTCCTCTCCCCCTCCTGCCCCTGCGGATGCTCTGGAGCTGGAAATTCCCTGCCAGGGCCCTGCAGGCAGCAGCAGTTTCCTCCAGAGCAGGCCAGGTGGTTCAGGGGTCAGGTTTGGGTGAGAAAGGGAGCTCAGACTTGGGAGAGCACAGGGATACACGGGAGAGCATGGGAATTACATGGGAGAGCATGGGAATCACATGGGAGAGCACAGGAATATGTGGGAGAGCATGGAATCACATGGGAGAGCATGGAATTACATGGGAGAGCATGGAGCATGGAATTACATGGGAGAGCATGGAATCACATGGGAGAATATGGAATTACATGGGAGAACATAGGAATTCCATGAGAGAGTGTGGGAGCACAGGAATTACATGGAAGAACATGGAATTATATGAGAGAGCGCAGGAATACATGGGAGAGCATGGAATTACATGGGAGAGCATGGAATTACATGGGAGAGCATGGGAATCACATGGGAGACCACAGGAATATGTGGGAGAGCATGGAATCACATGGGAGAGCATGGAATTACATGGGAGAGCATGGAAATACATAGGAGAGCATGGGAATTACATGGGAAAACATAGGAATTCCATGAGAGAGTGTGGGAGCTCAGGAATTACACACAAGAGCACAGGAATTACATGGAAGAACATGGAATTATATGAGAGAGCGCAGGAATACATGGGAGAGCATGGGAATCACATGGGAGAGGACAGGAATTACACAAGAACATGGAAATACATAGGAGAGCATGGGAATCACATGGGAGAACATGGAATCACATGGGAGAACATGGAATTACATGGGAGAACATGGAATTACATGGGAGAGCACAGGAATTACATGGGAGAGGACAGGAATTACACAAGAACATGGAAATACATAGGAGAGCATGGGAATCACATGGGAGAACATAGAAATTCCACGTGAGAGTGTGAGAGCTCAGGAATTACACACGAGAGCACAGGAATTCATGGGAGAGCAGGGGAATATGAGTGAGATAATGGGAACACACGTGAGAGCACAGGAACACATTAGGAGAGCATAGGAATTCCATGTGAGAGCATGGAAATGTAAGTGAGAGGATGGGAATTACATGGGAGAGGATGGGAATATTTTTGAGGGCACAGGAATACACAGGAGATCCTGGGAACGCTGCCTGGGGCTGGGGCCATTCCCAGTGCCATTCCCACTGGGATGAGACCAGTGCCTCTGGAGAGCCTTGGTCACTCTTCATGCCCAGAGCTGTGACACAACCCCAGCAAAAGTTTCCACGGGACGTTTGCCCTGAGCTGCAAACCCTGCGGGTTCGGGATGAATCCGCAGCATTTTGGGTCAAAACTATCCAAAATTTTTGGTTCAAAAACCCAGCCACCAGGACACCCCTGGGACACTCCCACCCCATGCCCAGCGCCACTCACAGATGTAGTAGTACTCGTGGCCGGGTCGGAACTCAAAGCCCAGCGAGAAGGGCGTGAAGAGCTGGAACTTCTCGGAGAACTTGAGGGGCCCGTTGGGGGAGTCGGGGCGGTTGCACTCCCAGCGCTTGAAGCCGCGCTGCCGGTGGTCGCAGGACGCGTGGCCCTCGTAGTTGACCATGTAGAGGATGTACCTCTCCATCCGCTCCGGCAGCGGCTCCTCGTAGTGTGGGCAGTAGATGTCCAGGTAGTCGTTGATGCTCACCTCCACCGTGTAGTCCCCGCGGTGGAACCTGAGGAGAAGTTGGGTCAGAGGGTCAGCAACTCGCCCTCGTTAGCGTTGGGGAGCACACGATCACGTAATGATTATCATTATCATCATCATCATCATCATCATCATCATCAATATGAAGGTGCTTTATTTGGGTGTCAGGGGTGCACAGACCCAAATCTGACCCCACCTGGTTTTGAACATGTTTTTATGCTCTTGTTATATAACTTTCATATTAATTATTAAACTTACATTGTTCTATTGTGTATGCATTGATTTTACCCAAGCGTGGATTTCTCGTGATCGCCCCAAACCCCTAACATCGTTTTTCATGATTCTTTAAACAATAATTAATCACATCTGACAATTATATCATTTATCATATCCTGACTACACAGGTGCAGTTCCACATGATCTCAGCAAGCACAAGGCCTAACATTTCCCAGGGCCTACTTTTAACACTTTTCCCCAGGTTTACCAAGCCTAACTTTCTTTCTAACTCCCTGAATTTTCTATGATTTTAAAATCTTTTACTGTCACCGGCACCCTGGGCTCAGGGAATTGCACGGTGGTTTGGGTTGGAAGGCACCTCAGAGCTCATCCAGCCCCTGTGGATGTTCATTTCTGTGCCCTGCTCGGTGTCCTGGGCTGGAGCTGGGCCAAAGCCATTCTTTTTGGGACTGAAGAGGTTCTTATTTTGTGGGAATGAGCCAAGGAGAACCATTCCCAGGAGATGGAGTGCTGCCTCCGGCTGATCCTGGACAGTCAGATGTGAGTAAAGAGGGGCAGGTGACCACAGGACCGTGGAATCCCAGGATGGTTTGGGTGGGAAGGACCTCAAAGCCCATCCAGCCCCCCCTGCCATGGGCAGGGACCCTCTTCCACCATCCCAGGGTGCTCCAAACCCCGTCCAGCCTGGCCTTGGACACTGCCAGGGATGGGGCAACCACAGCTTCTCTGGCCACCCTGCCCCAGGGCCTCACCTCTCCATCATCCAAGGCTTGATCCAACCCCAAAATCCCCATTAACCTCTCCAGATTAATCCACATCCTCTTTGTTTCGCGCCAACAAACCAGCGCCATTTGGTAAGAAATCACACAAAAACGATTATTCCCACATCCCCACAGCTCAGCGCCGCAATCCCGGTGTCATTGGTGTTCTTGGCACCAATTGTCCCAGAGATTAAGGGATTAGCAGCACTGGAGAGCTCCGTGGCACGTGCCAACAACCCCCCTCCTGCTCCTGGGGGCTGCCCCTGTGACCCCCTCCCCAAATTCCAGACCCCCCCTGGCATCACAGCCGGCTCCAGGCCGAATTCAGCTTCCTCTCCTCGCTGAGCGAGTATTTTTTCCTCATCAATTTAAGGTTCCCCCCCATCAGGAAGCCCCCCAAAACCTCAGCACCCCACAGCTCCAGGGTTTGGCCAGCGGATGGAGGGACCAGCACAGCCCTGCTGGGCCGGACAGCGACCACAACCCCCTCAAATTCCCAAAGCAGCATCTGGAGGCTCCCTAAAACCCCCCGAGGCTGCGGCAGCCGCTGAGAGTGACCCCAAAAAGGGAAAGGGGGGCACGAAAGGAGGAGGTGTGGGGAGAGGGGAGGGGTCCTGCAGCCCCCCTCCAGCTCATTACCTGCCTCATAAGCTCTCTGATCACACAGCGAACGCGCTAATTAAGGAGCAGGGTTTCTCCCTCTCCTTCCCTCTCCTTTCCCGAGCCAGTTGTGCCAACCCTGCCCCTGGCAAGGTAACATTGGAAAATGTAAAATTAATACAAAGGGCTGGAATTTACTGGGAAACAATTTTCAAACGCAAGGAGAACAATAAAAAATATTTAAAGGGAAAACCAACAAAAAAACCTTCTTCTGGCTGCCTTTTATTTAAAAAAATTATTTATTTTAATGATCGTTACTAAAGCCCAAGAAAAGGCGGGGGGGGCCCCATGTATCAGGGGAATAATAATGACACTGATAATAATAATAATAATAATAATAATAATAATAATAATAATAATAATAATAATAATAATAATAATAATAATAATTCCATTTTTGGGAAAAAATCACTTTAAATTGCTGAATTAAAGCTGATGAAAGCTGATTAATGGCCCAGACAGAGATGGCTGCAGGGGGGCTGCAGGGAGGGGGTCACCCTCTTTGGGTGAGGGGGTCTGTGGGGACCCCCAGCATGGTGCACCCCACTCTGCATGGGGTCCTGGGCTCTCCCAGTGCATCCCAGTCAGAGGATGGGGATGATGCCAGCACCAGAGCCATGGGATTGGGATGATGCCACAGGACTGGGATGATGCCACAGGATTGGGATGATGCCACAGGACTGGGATGATGCCACAGGACTGGGATGATGCCACAGGACTGGGATGATTCTGGCACCTGGATAACACCTTGGGATGGGGATGATCCTAACACCAGAGCCAATGCCATGGGATGGGGACAATGATCTTACTGATCCCATCATCAGAAATGACATCATGGGATGAGAATAATTCCATCACCGGGGAAGATACCATGGGATGGGGACGATGCCATGGGATGGGGACAATGTCATGGGATGGGGAAGATGCCATGGGATGGGGACAATGTCATGGGATGGGGACAATGTCATGGGATGGGGATGATGCCATGGGATGGGGACAATGCCATGGGATGGGGACGATGCCATGGGATGGGGACAATGTCATGGGATGGGGATGATGCCATGGGATGAGAATGATGCCATGGGATGGGGATGATCCCAGCACCACAGCTGGTGTCACAGGATGGGAGTGATGCCATGGGATGGGGATGATGCCATGGGATGGGGATGATGCCATGGGATGGGTGGGATTAGGATGATCCCATCCCCAGGGACGAACCCTGGGAGATCCTGGCAGCACACACTCCATGGACACCCCAGCTCTGGAGCTCCATGCTCCCACCCACGGAGCCTGGCTCCATCATGCTGGGCTTCAATCAACAGCACCGTGACACCTCTGCCCCTTCCACGACAGGAGCAAGAACCCATCCCGGGGAAATTGTCCGGAATTAAAATCTGGGAGCTGGTGAAGCCCCTTCGGCAGCACCCAGCCCCTGTAGCCCTGCACCACACCGGGCAGGTTTCCCTGCTGGAAACACACTGACTTCCCAAGTTTTTACCTCTTGGATATTCACTGTTGAGGGGAAAAACCCTTCTGGGAGGAGACAGACAGAGCCCCCCTGGCCCCTGCAGGGCAGAGCCAACCAGGAGAGCAAATCCCACGCCTAAACCCTGGCCCTGGTCCCCCAACCACAGCCAGTGCCTCAGTTTCCCCTCTGAGCTGCAGCAGCATCCTCCCAAAATCCCCAAATTCGGGCAGCGACCCAGCGCGGGAACAAAGCGGATTTGTCTCTCTACACCCTGCGAGACCAGCCAGTGTCCCAAGGGTTAAATAATTCAGATTTTTCTTTCCTGAACAGCTTGAAAAGAGATATGATTGCACCCGCTGGAATACGGGGAGGGGGGGTGGATATTATGGATGGAAAAGAGCTATTTAAGCTGAGGAATGGTGTTGGCACATAAACAAATGGGTATAAACCGGCCATGAATAAATTGAGGCTGGAAATTAGGAGGTTTGGAACCACTGGGGGCCGGTCGGG